CCAGGTACTAACCAGGCTCAGCCCTGATTAGCTTCAGTGGGCATCATTTTTGCCTCATCTAGGGAACCAATCACTGAACAGGGAGGCAGCAGCAAGATGGTGATGACGTCTATGCGTCACACTGAAGCAGTTTGTTTATACCTATGAATCCAACATGGCAGCAGACGCGAATTAAGTTACCTTTCAATGCAGCCGTAGAAACGGCTGTTAGATACACACCATCTAACACAGTCTCATCCCAAAAAGTCATATAACTGACGTCTTGGGGCGTATTTTGACCATACGTCAATATCCGCCTTTTTAGGGCCCCCTTAAACGTCGGTAGATGGCGATCCCGGGCCGTCATACAACTGACGCTTTACCTTTAACGTCAGTTAGGTGACGGGTTAGGTTTAGGGTTAGGTTTAGGTATGGGGTAGAGTTAGGATCCCATAACCTCATCTACCGACGTTTAAGGGGGCCCTAAAAAGGCGAATATTGACGTATGGTCAAAAGACGTCCCAAAACGTCAGTTATATGACGTCTTGGGATGAGACCGGGTTGCACCATCATATACACATAAATCTCTGACCCGTCGTCTTCTTCCTCGTCTAATTTCTTTTACTCTACATACATAATCTGGTATAATTGAAACGATTGGCTATGAGCTACGTATAGGCGGATTTGATAGACATTCTTTGTACCCAATAAACGGCTCTGGGCATTCGTAAACCACGCCTCAAATACGAGAAAATGAACGTGTGGTTCATTTTCTCAATGAAACTTGGGTCTGACGTTAGCCAGGCTACTGATTTAGATGTGTATAGTGTTTGTTTTAAAGGTGCAAAATGCAAGTCTCTGAGTTTTTGCAGAACCATGCCCCCTCTGGCGACAAGCGAAACTGCAACCAGAGGTGTGCGCGCTCATGGATCACACACGCACGTTTGCACGAGCTGTTCATATCCAAAGGAGCATTAGCCACACAAATTTTTTGTTACAGTCATAATGTCTTCAGAGGTAATAAAATGATAAATTTGCAAGCCATTTAAAATATATGAAAGGAAAGGCATTTGAGTAAATTACACACTTATGTGTGTGTGAGGGGGAAACAAGGGTAGAAGAAAACTTCGGTTTTTGTTTTCATCTATCTCCACGTTGAACTGTTTTATGTGCTTACCTATCCACTTATGATTGTATTATTATTGAAACACGTTCATGAACAATATAATTAATTACAGTCATAGGCAGGCGAGCGTGAACGCGCCTGACGTCACACCCGGTCTCAAATTCGAGCCCGAATCCCTCTTATTTATTTTACTGTACAGAATTATAGAGGCAATCGCAGTGATCAGAGAAGGGCTCTTTCAGCCCATCAGGCAATTGTTTAAGCATGTATGGGTTAGAAAAGGGGTATTTTTAACATGAAATGTTGCGCAATTCACCTTTAAGGATGCTGATATTTAACTGGAGGATTATTTCATGAAGGACAGGGAAACATCCTTAGAACCATAAGTTATATCAAGGTTGACTGTTGCAGAAGTTCACTAGGAATGCGTCCTTCTACAGTGAGTGTCCCTTAACCCCATCAAAAATGTGGAGTGCCTTCCCATTAAAATGGAAAGATACATGACAGCCCATCTCGACTCAGAGTCCAAGACCATATTTTCATGGTCTTGGTTTTGTCATGGATTCGAGAGCATCTGGTCTACTCAGACTCAAAGTCAGCTGGTCTCGACTACAACACCGTCCTGCGATGTACACTAAGAAACAGGGTGAGCAGGAGACTCTGAATCATGTATTTGTAGTCTGAGAAGTGATGCAGTACACATGCTCTCTGTAAATAGGAGCTGTGCTCAAGAGTACAATTTAAGTTCTGTCTTGCCATCACATTCCGATTCCATCGAATGGACTACTGTGTAATTGTTTGCCCTTTCTGTAGATTGACGGTCCTAGTCAGTGTATGATTTCAATATATGAAGAGTTCAGATGCAAAAGCCTCTAAATGCCATTTGAAATTTTCTTCTTTAATGATGATTTTTATCAAGCTTGTATATTTAAGTACAGTAATTTCACTTAAATGGCAATGATAATTACCTATTAATTGTTATTTAAGTGAAATTACTGAACTTAAATATACAAGTTTGATAAAAATCATCATTAAAGAAGAAAATTTCAAATGGCATTTAGAGGCTTTTGCATCTGAACTCTTCATATGCTCTAGTCTATAGCGTTCTAATAAACCTGGAAATGCACAGTATGAATAATGTGTGGTTGTGTACCTAAATGCTATATTGAATGTGTCTCTATTGTTCGTCATAGAAAGTGTGCTAATTTCTTTTGCACATTTTGCTGTGCAAAAGCATGATTTGAATGAATGAATGAATGAATGAATGAATGAATGAATGAATGAATGAAAAGAGCAATATGAACATTCTTCCAAACGTGTTTGTGTTGTTTGTAGAATGCAAATGGAGTGACTTTTAGGTCATAGAGTCATTTCAAAACTCTGATGCTAATCATTTTTTTTAATTTTCAATGTGATTTTACAGAATCAAGATTACGGTAATTTGCAGAGCATTTGGTTGCAACAGTGCGGTAAGCCCTCAGTAGGGTTGTCGAACGTTCCATATACTGTAATATGGAATTTTCCCGTATTTAAGAAATCAAAGTAGCAATCTAAATATAATTCACTCTAATTCGTCCGGCCAACAGTAAAATCCCATTGGTCCAAAATCCAGTTCCAAACAGTTTTATATTAAACATTACATTTGTTCCGACTGGCTGTGATAACGATTCTTAGGTGTGGACAGACAAATCGTTGATAAGAACACATTCATGCAATGCCGAAAACAAATTTAAGCAATGCAAAATGTTACACTTTTAGGATTATGTGCTGTTGTGAGGCACAATTATCAGATTATCACATGATCTGTTTTAAGAGTGTCTTCCAAATGTATGTAATATTTGGAATATACAGTATCATGAGAAATTTGATTGTGTCTGTAATCTCTTTTTTTTTGTGGAGTAAGAAAAAATAGTCAGTATAATGAGTAATTTGTCTCGGTCTATACACTAATTGAATTACTAAATTTAACAAATTTAGCACCGGCATTGCTTTCTAAAGGCATAAAGAACAAATACAAAGTTAAGGTAATGCAAATACGGTGCACATACACATACAGTAACAGCTATTGATGTAATCATTCAAGGCCAGCGGTTGGAGAGATCATTACTCTCGGCTCAGTCCAACCTCTAAAAATACCAAGGATCCCAAGCATGAGATTATAGACTTTGCCAGAAAAGATACTGAGTAAATGATTATAGGCTTTTGTGCAGGGTATGAAATGGTTGGTGCAGTGTCAAGCCTAACACAATTCACACAAGAGTTTTCCTAAACGGCTAACTCATTATTGCATGAACACATCCTCATGAATTTTAAATTCCTTTTTTCTCTTTTATACTATTCTACAGACCATGGCACTGAGCTTTTAATTGGCATTTAGGAAAGACGAGAGCATAAGAACCATGAAATTAAAGATCAAGACAGGATCATTAATTAATCAGACAGGTATATTATCCAAAGCAAAATATGACTTTGTTCAGATAGTGTGCTCCTGCTAACTTAATTCTCAAAAAATGAAAGGGAGAGAAAAATCACTAAGAAATACTGCTGTAATCGACCCCTGACCTCCAGTAAAAGAGCAATGAACAGAAGAGTAGTTTAATATATGACTAGATGAGACAGATCTCACATAACTGATAAACAAGTTTTATAGCTTTTGTCTTGAGCTTGAATCGTTTGGTTGATCACTAAACTACAGCCTGGGTGAAAAGAGTGTAGATTTAATTGAAAATGTGCATTACTTTTAAGAACTATTTTTGCCTTATCTGACATTTAGAAATCACACAAAGTAGTCAGATTGACTGTAAACTGAAACGTTCACTCATCAAGCACATTTTAAGCACCCTATAAAGTATTACATTGGACTATGCAATTATTAGAAATCAGAGCAGATCCGTCTGATTTTGCATCCCAAAAAGAATAGACAATCTTGCATATGATATCATGAAAATGTTGTTGTGTTCAGTGTTGTTATTCGTTTTCATTCATCTCTACATAAAAGTGAATATACGGTTTCACTTTCCAATAGTCTCGATATATCCACCCACTAGATCTAAATGGGGTAATTACATAGACTTAGAATTTTTTTATACTGAGCTTATAATACATAATATAACCTAACCCTAAAATGTTCTGCATTTTAACATTTAAAAAAAAAAATAATAATAATAATAATAAATAAAAACGTTACTAATCTTAGTTTTATACAGTTTTTACAAATGTAGATGGTCCCTGAGATGAGGTTTTGGAAGTGTTGACAGATTTAGCTCACTAATTGGTACAGATTTGTCCCCAAAATATGGTTAAGTAGGGGCACAAACACACACACACACACACACACACACACTTACTTCTCTTTATTTCCAGAAGGTGGCACTGTTGGGTTTTAAGAACGCCCATCACTCACTTCAAACAAGCACCTCACTAACTTTAATCATTTGCAAATAGTTTTTTTTTGAGTTTTTTTTAATGTTTTTTTTAAATGATAATTTTGGCACACAAAATAATTTAAATACATAATTCAATGTCTAAATATGTAATTAAAGTTTTCCTTCTGACATGTGGCTTTAGGCATTTTAAAATGTAAAAAAAAAAAATGCTTTGAAGTAAAAGGATCTGCAGAATACTGGCGAAACATAGTAGCCTATAGAAACGTCAATGAAAAGAAAATAAAATCTTCTATGTTACTAAATTTAATTTTACATTTTGCAAACGGTTAAGGAAAGAGTTAAATGTTCGAAAGCCATTCAACTCTTTCCTCCTGCATTTCCAAAATGACAGTCAGCTGACGAGAAAAGTTTTGGTTTCCGAACCCATATGTTAAAGAGCTCTGAGATCCAGAGAGGCTCATTGGCTCGTCGAGAACCTGACGTCACGGCAGCTATAAAACTCAGCAATGCTTTTAAACTCTACTGTAGTGGGTCGAGTTTAAAAACTCTCTCAGCTCGATCTGTGTCGACATCATTTAGCGCACGTATTTCACGTTACACTTACCCGTTTGACTACGATGATGTCTGCTCTTCAGGAGTCACCAAAGTGTTAAATGTTTGAAATAGAAGGCCGCCGAAATCCACATGTAAAGAGAAGAGAAAGAGATCCAATGCATTTTTGCAATAGACTGTGCCAAGGAGAGCTCATAATCTGGAGTTAGGAGAGCACTGAAAAGTCCTGTGCAGTATCTGTTTTTCTGCAAAGAGTAAAGCATTTAAAGATCATCAAGCTGGCTCACTCTCTTCCGACCCAGCCCGCTTTGACAGCTGCACTTCACCCGCACTGGAGGACGGTCAGCAGCAAGAGGATGGCATCAGAGCTGGCACTGAGCAGCTCCGACCTGCCCACCAGTCCCCTGGCCATGGAATATGTTAATGACTTCGATCTGATGAAGTTTGAGGTGAAGAAAGAGCCACTGGAGCCCGATCGCAGCATCAGCCAGTGCAGCCGCCTAATCGCCGGGGGCTCCCTGTCTTCCACCCCGATGAGTACGCCCTGCAGCTCAGTTCCCCCTTCCCCGAGCTTCTCGGCGCCCAGCCCTGGCTCCGGGAGCGAGCAGAAAGCGCACCTGGAGGATTTCTACTGGATGACCGGTTATCAGCAGCAGCTCAACCCGGAGGCGTTGGGCTTCAGTCCCGAGGATGCGGTTGAAGCGCTGATTAACAGCACACATCAGCTCCAGAGCTTCGACGGCTATGCTAGAGGGCAGCAGTTTAGTAGCGCAGCCGGACCGGGAGGCGCCATGGCCGGGGAGGAGATGGGATCCGCCGCCGCGGTTGTGTCTGCAGTCATTGCCGCTGCTGCAGCGCAGAACGGGGCACCCCACCACCAGCATCATCATCATCACCACAGCCACCACCAGCAGCACCAAACTCCCGGGGTCCCGTCCGGCAACAACTCCTCGGCCATCCACCACCAGCACAGCCACCTGGACGACCGCTTCTCGGACGAGCAACTCGTAAGCATGTCCGTGCGGGAGCTCAACCGGCAGCTGCGCGGCGTCGGCAAAGAGGAGGTGATCCGACTCAAACAGAAGAGGAGAACCCTCAAAAACAGAGGCTATGCTCAGTCGTGTCGCTACAAGAGGGTTCAACAGAGGCACGTACTGGAGGGTGAGAAGACCCATCTCATACAGCAGGTGGACCACCTCAAACAAGAGATCTCCAGACTGGTGCGCGAGAGAGACGCGTACAAAGAGAAGTACGAGAAGCTGGTGAGCAACGGCTTCCGAGAAAACTCGTCGAGCAGCGACAACAACCCCTCATCCCCGGAGTTTTTCATGTGAGTTCCCTAAAAAAAGAAATCAATAAAGATTCTAAAAGGTTTTTTTTTTTTTTTTTTTTTTTGGTGGTGGTGGTGGGGTGGGAGTGTTAAGATCAAGGCTGACAACTTTTTATCGCTTTTATAAAGAACTGAAGTCAGTTCTTGAGTTTTGGGGGCTTGATATGCAACCAACTTTTTTTTTCTTTATATTAATCTTTAAATTAGTTCACATTTTGATGTGTATGCATACACTTATGATATTGACCTTCATTCACCTTATGCATTTTTTTGCCAAATAAGAAAGTTTGCTATTTTTATTTTATATACATATATATTTGTTTAGTTTTTTTTTTTTTTTTGTTGCTTTTTGCCAAAGTCAGAGGATTTTCCCACATTGTCATCTGATGTCTTCTGCTTGCTGTTTTGTGACTTTACATGAGAGACATTGAAGAGACATGTCATTGAAGTGCCTGCATGCTGGACATGTAAGGTTTTTTGTTTTTACTTTATTCCCCCTCCATTTTTTATGCGCTTGAAAATGAACTTCTACTTGGAAAAAAAAAAAAAAAAAACTTCTGCTCAGCATGGCATTCATACATTTTTTTTTCATTTCCCGGTCACTTTTTTTTTTTTGGAATATGGACTAAAAAAGTACAAGGAGCATCATGTCATCATCCTCCCCATTAAAAAAAAAGTTGATCCATACAGTTTCCATACATTTAATTCTCTGTTGAGAGTCAACTGGAAGCAGTGTTTCGAGGGAAAGAACAAGGACCTGGTTTCAAAAAGGAATTCTCCCTCTGGGACTTAAACAGTGTTGTTGCTAAGAGCGGTTTGTGTATTTAATGTCAAACGTTTGCATTTTAATAACTCTGGAATGAACTACTTTTTTTTTTTGCATCATATAAAACAGTTAAAGGTAGCCAATGCCACAGGTTGACACGAAGAAGGAAGAGTGACTTTAGATGTTGCCTGTTCATATTGTTTGAATTGAAGGCTCCAAGTTTGCATACAGCTGGATTTTTATCATGCGTAACTTGAGCTTTTTGCAGCATGTACTGGCAGTAAAAACAGCAGTTTGACAGTGTAGTTCATGATGTAGCCTACTATTTACTGTATTTTAAAACCAAAGTATTAAAGTAGAATTTCAAGTCAACATGGAAAACCATGCATTCAGAAAATAAAAGGTCTGATCTAATTGGAATGAGTTGCACTAAATGTAGCTTGTAGCAAATTATATATCACGTATTGGAATCTATCCAGAACGCTAATTTAAAAGGCACCCGTCATGGCTTTGCTGAAAAGTAAAGGATTTAATCTTATTTAGTTATATATTTGTCAAGCAGGACTCGATTCTATCTTTTTCTTTCTTTCGTTCTTTTCTTTCTTTCTTTTGATGTTAATAAAGTTATTATTTACATGGCAATAATGTAGTAATCAATATTAAAATGTCTGGACATTGTTTTATGGTCAGGGATTGATACCCTGCTTGTATAAAATCAGGATATACCGTTCATCAATAAATTCTTAAAACTATGTTAATTATTATTTTATTTCTTTTTTTTCATATATATATCTATATATATTTTGCTGTGCAAAATTATTTTACCCACTAACCGTATGTGATGTTCATATATGCTTTTTTTTTCATTTCATACAATATGATATGCAATAAAAATGCAATTTGGGCCACTTAAAGTCTGCTTTCTCTGGATGTTGTTTGTTAAAGTTTTATTAGTTTTTATTTTATTTTTTTTTAACAATCATTAGTTGATATAATCATAATTCTTGCTATAGCCTGGTTTTATTAGTCATATCCAGTGCACATATTGGCATCTCAAAAATTGATTGTCTATCGTAAGATTCGGACTCTTGAAACTATGTAAAAAGCTTTCGCTGTTATCATATAGCTCTTTGCTCATAAACTCATAATATTCTCTGGAAAAGTCCACAGGATCACATTGCTGCAGCCACTATGTAATGGTTGATAGAATATAATGCATTTTATTGCAGACAATGCTCTAACATTCCAAAGTTTGACAATGCAATGCGTCTCAATGCAGTGGACTTTGCTTTATGTTTAGAATGAATTTAAAGCGTCACCTTTTTACCTTTTATTTTGTGACTTACAAGAGAAATTGTGGATTCCTTGATGAAAGTAAACTCTTTTAATTGCATGGGTGTAGGCTGTGCTGTGTTGCACAGATGTGAAACTCCTGGAACTGCTATGTTTAGGTCTTGAGGTAAAAAAAAAAAAAACTAGATTCATTTTACAGCGAATGTAAATGGTTGTAGTGTAGTTATCAAAGAACAGCATGTTTATGCATCTGCCTAAGACATGCATGTATATATAAGGTCAGAGTTGTCATAGTTCTCAACTGGTGAGTCGCATAGGCGTGTTCTGATAGTTTTGCGGACAGCAGGAAAAAGTCCGTGCTAAATGCAAAAAGTAAAACCATTAAACGACGTCCACCAATTTGCACAAACTATGCCGTAGTTTTTCCTGAAATATTTTCCTATTCATCTAGTTATGGTAATACTTTTGAATATTGCTGGGCTTAAGCAGTTGGTGTTAATATTAATAAACTCAGATTGCTTTTCTAAGGCCATTTTGTTTACCTAAGACAAACAATGTAGGTAATGTGTTGGCTCAACACTTGCTCTGGGTCCTGAAGCAACATCAGTTGAAAGTGTTTTTGAGTGAAAGTGAGGTCAGAGTGAACATTCATATCCTGTATGTGTGCAATAGTTTTTCCACTGCTAGTGTCATTTGACCACCACTGATGTTGGAAAGAACATTGGTAGTATTACAAATTATAATACTAATTAAAAATAATAAAAAATCAGACATGCACACACACAAAAAAGGACAAATAAAAAATGTCAAATTAAAGGACAAATTAACTATATTAATATCTGTATTAAAATGAACAGTGCTCAGTTTGTCCAGAGCTTTGCTTTTTATTTACTGATTATCTGCCTTTCCTTCGTTTGAACAAAGCGGCTTTATTGTCCACCTCTTCCGAAACAAAGCTGTGGAGGTGGGAGCAGGAAATCGGATGAGAGTATATGATTTGAAATATAATTTCCCCCAATGATTAATCGCTCAGAAAGGGTCCATTTAAAAATGATAAATTATGAATCTGTATATTGCTGCGGCAGTATCCATACTGTTTTTGTTTTGTTTTAGCATGCATGCGAAAACTGCAATTTATAACAAATCTGTCTCTCATGCGTATTAAGAGGGAAAGGTTCAGTATTAGTATTTTGAGTTGCCAAAACCCTAAATGTCTCAAACTTTATGTGCATTCAAGACACTAATTAAGGAAAACAGAAGTTGCAAGTAACTCTACATTCCCATTTAATCTCGATTTGAAATGTATTTTACAATCTTGCTGTTGCAACTACACGATAAAACTTTTATGCTACTTATTTTTGGGAATCCTTTTATTCCGTCGATTATTATTATTGTTGTATATGTATTCAGTGTGGAAGAGAAAGGCAACAATCTCTTCATCAAATCAATGTGTGTTTCACTGAGTACTCTGCAAGATCAAATCAGCATTAGTGAAGGTGTATTTTAGTGTGTGAGTGTGTGTGTTTACAGAGGATGCGTGGAGGTCAGTGAGCGAGAAGTAAAAACATGCGCGCAGTCATTACAGAGATCTTTACCCTCAGGGGAGACCTTATTCATTTCCTGTACCAGTCCTTAAGTCAAATGCATGCACACATAGGCGTAGCATGCAGTCTTAGTATGGATACGCAGCTATACCTTTCTTCCATTTTCACCTTTAATCAGCTATAACAACAGCTTTGCTCAACAAATTTGCCCAGCGATTTTGCATTATTTTGATTAGTTGACTGAATGCAATTACATTGTCATCAATATCCATGTTCATTGCTGGATGGATTGAACTTGTATTAGTATTTGGTGCATGCTACGTCATGACAGACAGACAGGCAAACAGACAGACATATAGAACGGATGGATGGATGGATGGATGGATGAACAGAGCAGTTTTGGAAGTCTTTTGGCTTGTGGGTGAGCTTGAAAGAGCTCTCGGAAAGATGTGCACACACTTTGAAACTGTGTGTCAGAGTATTGGGGTTTTCCAGCGATGCACAGACGCAATAAAGATGAAAATGATGCATGTGTGATACAGAGAGAGAGAGTGAGACATCATCGGTAAAAAAAAAACGTCTTTACTTAGTCTTTTATCTGGACTACTATAAGATCCAATTTTAAATGAGTATACATTTTTCAGAATTGTAACAATTGTTATGCAATAATCTATAATGAACATTACTTTAGACAAATATTACCTTTAATTCAGACAGTAGCATTCTTCATACAGCTTCCTTTTTAATAAAGAGTTTCTTTTTTGAAAGCTGAAAGTGTTGTTGACGTGTGTCAATAATGTCTCTACTCAGAAACATGCATAGAGAATACATTTGTTGGCCTTTTGTGTGCACTTTGTAAAATCATCAGTAATCTTCGTCATTTTCATCATTCAATCTTTCATCAGTTATTTGACATTGAAGTTTTCAGTACAGATTTGAAAATGTGCCTAAATAAAGCCACTGTCATTAATATAATCTTATTTCTGATATTATTATTTTATTTCAAGGGTAGTGTTGAGCTTTTGAAATGAATGCTAATAATTGTTTCAGTTTAAATTAAATTAAATTAAATTAAATTAAATTAAATTAAATTAAATTAAATTAAATTAAATTAAATTAAATTAAATTCATGGGATTTATTTTACGAAGCTGGTAGTTGTGATTCATAGCTTATTGCATCTACAGACAGCAATAAAATTAAACACTACCTCCTATGTTTTTTTGTTTTTTTTTGGCGAAATTCTCAAACTGGTAATTTAAACGTTCAATTTTCTTCAGAAATTGCTGATCATTTTATGTTTGAAACATTTTTGTGGAACTCCTTTTCATCTTCAAGCAGTGAACAGCTATCGCCCTTACGTGATACTTGCGTTTCCTTGTTAAACGGCTGTGCATGTTGATTTACTGTAGCTGACTTCAAGCCTATAAATAATCTTTGTCCTCCAGTGTCAATAAAACTGTCAATCACTTCTGTAATACATTTTATCTTTCTTTTTTTACTCTTTTTTAGCATTCACACACACACACACACACATACACCCTTACTGAGTGAAAGTGTGAAATTGCCTTTTGCCTTTAAAGTATTACTTCAAACTCAACCTTTATGTAAGGTAAATTTTATATTTAGGTTTGATATAGCCTGACAATTTTTGGTCTTTTTACATTTTCTTCCTAGATAGAGAATTCTATGCTGACAGGGCATTCGGAACTCTGTTTTGAAATAATCAGTAATTATGATTACGTCAGTAAGAATTTATATTCTCAAAATTATATTAAAATATCCGGAGTGTAATGTGTAATGTATATTACAATGTAATGGGGTAATGCATGATAATAACTATGCTCTCACACATAACACACATTCTGTCACACCTTACTTATCCTATTAAAACAAAGTGGTGTAACAACAATAATTGTAAACAAACAATTTAATGTAATTTACTTTTTTTTCTAGCAGGCTGATATCTACAGTATGTTCAGATCACACTCTATAGGCTGACTGTATGTGAGCGCATATGAGTGTTTAAAATATTTATGTCTCTTAAAAGTGCGAGTTGAAATGTAGACTGAACATTGTTTATTAAAATATCCAAAACTTGTTTTAGACATATCAAACAAAATTGGATGTCACTTTCCATCAGTAATGAAAATTAAATGGCTCACATGCAGCAACTATCGAAGAATAGATTGTTGCATCTTCTGTTATTTCATTATAGATGCACACCTCAGTGAAACCTATTCATCAGAAAAATGATAATGTCAGATTTAGCTTTTTTTCCAGCGCAGATTAATCAAGTATGAACAACTTGCAGTTTGTTATATCGCTGACTGATCTTGTTATATAATATATTTCAATAAAATACTTTCAGCTTAGTACAATCTCTTCACAAAGATCATTGTAAAAAATGAGTTAAATCATAGTGAAATCACAATTTCCATTTAGTTTATATACAGTATTATGTATTATGACATCTCCCCCTCCCCCTCTCCCTCTTTCTCTTTCTCTGTCAGGTCTTCCAGAAAGTTCCTTCATCTGTGACTGTGAGCTCTCTAAGCCTGGCCTTGATGAGTGAGGTAAAACAATTTCACCTGTATCACACTAAAACACCACAGTCTGGAAATGAACACAAAATGAGCCATAATTATGATTTTAATTTCAGAGGTACTGTGTTTATTTTTATGGAAATTAATTCTAGAAAGACTAATGCTATAACTGAATAGTGTGCTAAAAAAAAAAGCATACATGAAGTAATAAAAAGCAGTGATATTTTCCAGTCTGAATCCCAATGTGCATGCATTAATATTTCTCAGTGCAATCTACAATTTGATTTTAAAATAACATTGACTGAGTACCTAACACTTTACCTGACGTACACCTTGCAGTGAGGCTGGTACTTCCTAAAGTGCTGTACGAAACATTTTTCTCACTTTACACTTGAATATAAGCAAGAGTAAATTCACCTTCCCATAGGCCGAACTCTCAGTGCTGGGGTGATGGATTTCTGTAAGCCCAGTTGAAGCACAATCCATCTTTCTCCAGGCTCAGTGTGTACTCTTCTAGGACTACACCA